ATTTACTGAAGTATATGTCAAATCTCTCTCTCTCTCTCTCTTTTTCTCTTTCAAATTAATTAATAATAAATTTTCGCTAATTCTGTTATATATTATTATATTCTAAGTATTCCGATAATTACATCTGTAAATAAATAAATTAAAAAAAAACTTTTATTGGAAAAATAAAAAAAACAGTATCAATTACACAATTTCATCAAAGAATCTTGAAAAATGTATCTTACTTTCTACTCAAAGTTACTAATGGTTAGGTTACTAAGGTGCTATCAATAATTCAAGGTTAGTAGAGTGCCAAAAATGGGCGAAGAGTATAAAATGCTCCATTAGGAACAAGTTGGGCTAGAATCAAGGTTTGAAAAAGAATAACGAAAGGAGTTGGAAAGATCATTCCATTAAATCAAATTTATCATCGTAATAGCATTAACTTCGTAAATGTTGAGACTTTGTCTTCTCTTATATATGTATTACTTCGAGAGATATCTTTTCTCTCGGACTATAAAATTTTAACTCAAATCAATATAGCAAAGTATCTGAGTTTCTTCACTAAATGCATCAAATACTTTACAAGAAACTTCCAGTCGTAAACGCAATACGAATTGCAAGTATATTTCTCCTCTTTAGACTTGTATGCCTTGGTGAAACGCAAAGAAAGTACAGCTTGATTTTCAATATTTTCGAAAACGAACTTTTTTGACAAAAAGTCTACAACATTCTTAAACTATGTGAAGATTTAGCTCCAAAGATAACCCATTAAAGTGGTTAATAAAGAACGATTTCTAGTAACGATTTTGCTCAGACTTCACTTAAGACCATTTCCATCCTCTAAGCTGGATAAACTAGGATCAATGATAAGCTTCTCGAATCACAGTTAGTCACAAAGTATATTCTACTTCGATTTTTCGATACAGCATATAGATTCATACAGCATATAGATGTGAAACTGAAATTGTAACATTCAAAAATTCATCGTAAACTTTTACATAAAATTTTAATAGCTTATTCAAATAGATATACTCAGTAAACGACATCTTGAAATAATAGATAAATGCCGACCATTAACACAGTTATAACTATCTCTCATTGTCAAGTTAACGCAGAGCTGCGTGTAAAGTTTATATCTTGACGTATAAAGTACTTTCTTTATTTTCTAACATCTACGAAGAGTGGCAGAGTGCACTTGCGATGCCTGGAAATGGCGTTTTATCGTAAAACGTATACGCATATTCTCGGGGCACTCCGCGGAAGCTGACTGAATTGAGTTTTGGCATAATACTCCTTCTTTTTCGCATTTCTCTTCCGGCGGAATATTCTAAACGTTTCTTCTTCATGTTTCACCGAGATATAGTCTAAAATGCATTAAGAAATACCAGTTGCAATCCATATTTTCACGTTTTAATATCTCAAAAAATATGAAATTTAACCTGTTTTTAAAAGAGAATGCTTATAATAGTTGCACTAAAGCAATAACATAACTTAGGTACCTGAGAGAGGCAAATGAGAGAACGGATCATAAACGTTTATCTCTTAAATTATAGTTTTTCTAAAAGCTCTCGTATAAGTACCCACTTGCAACCCCATATCAGTAATTGAATGTCTCATATGCAAATGTTCAAGAAATCTCGTGCACCCAGTGATAACTGCATCACGTTTCTTAAAATGCGTAAAATGAAATCCATTCGTAGCTCTCGTTCCATATCGTCGTGTAATTGCATTTACGGCATTTACGGACGTCGTCAACGAGACGCTTTGAAATCACCAGACGAAAGTAATTTCCATGAAATAAGGATGAGAGGAAATTCTGTCGTGCGATCAAGTAAAACACTTTGCCTATAACTTCGCTAACTATGTATTTCGAAACATAATAACGTCTTTTGTAGCACAATAAGCTTAATCGAAACTACTTGTTACGTTATGATTGCTTTTATTTAAATTAGTAAGTACGCGGAAACCATCCGATTATAATTTCAATTAAATCTTTATTATAATTATTTCGAAATAAACATAATTTACCTTTTCAAAGTAGTCGTAATATACGAAGCAAATGAAACATTACATTATTATGCAAATTCCGTCCTTAAAGAAGAGTTAAAACATTAATGAACAAATGCTTGAGAATGCGCTACTTTTCCGATCGATCGAGTAAATTCATAAACACATATCACTTCTATAAAAGTCATACTTCATATTTTTCATGAATGCTCAATTCTTCCTTACAAAAGATCTAATATTGCTCGGCATATATTAGATCAAATGAAAATATTAGATTATTTCTCTATTGACACATATGAGAAATAAAATTGTGAAATAAAATTTTGTCAAAGGCTAAAAAAAGGGAAATTTGGCATTTTCTCATATCAGCGTATCTAACTGACATTTAAACAAGAAGAATCAGTTGGTATTCCGGATGTTAGTTAAAGGGTTACTAGAGCAGGCGTGCAAGGAATAAAACGTTTCGTTACATGAGAAGAGGCGAAAGAGAACGTGGAGAATCACAGGAAATTGCTGCCAAGAAAGGACTCGGAAAACTTTTGCAGCATAGAATCAAGAGAAACTGTTACACTGATAAAACTTAAACGAGGAAATATGGTTAAATTTTACTTGAAACACAAAACTATGAAGGACATTATTAATGATTTTAATTTATATAAAATTAAACATATGTTTGAATATTTAATCAATATAACAATTATTAACTAAATATTATTAATGCAAACAAAAAATTTTCAATTAAATATTAATCAATAAGACATAAAATCTCGGATATCTACAAGACATCCTCGTTACTCCCAAAATAAAATTAAAATTAATATACATATTATATACCTAAATATACACTTTACATTTTTAACAAAAATGCATTGCAAAGTAAATCGAATTCTACTATACAATAATTCTACTGCAAAAATTTGAAGATTTTTATTTTCAATGAAATAAAAAATTTGTTGCTGTCGTTGCAGCATTACCACGGATTAGCTTTAATTTTTCTAAAGATCATGATTACATTAATAATAAGAAAAAAGGAATATTTACTATGTGGTTATATGTGTAGAAAGATAGAGTACCAGCGATTTCATCATTTTTCACCAATTTTTTACAAGATTATTCTAATGTACAACTTTCTGCCATTGACTTTATTTTATGCTTTTTATATGGCGTTTTATTTGGCTCTGGTCTTATTAATCAAGCTCAACAATTTCAACGGAAAAATGTGAAATGACAAATCTCGAGCTTCACGATAAGATGTATTAGATTTACTTAAATTAATTTCGTAACCGCATTTTCATTTCTTATAAATGTATTCACTGACAAGTAAGAATTTACAAAATTATTTTTCGAATGTTTATCTTTATAGTTGTTCTAATAAAATCTTTTAAATAAAATCATTGAGATCTTATGTCGGAATAAAAATATCTATGTCAATACAAATTCTATTTCTTTCCTTTTTTTGTATAGAAATAAAATAAAATTAAAATAATCATCAAAAAATGTATATAAATA